AAATAACAATAAAGATTGCAATTATTATTTGTACCCAGGGGTCTTGTACTGGCTTGCTAGCTAAGCCGTAAGGCGAAACGATTAGGCTTGGTGTTTTTTGGTGACTGGTGAGGCCCTGCTAGTTGCCAAGTGGCTTGAGAGGCTCTATCTATGCTTGGCGCGAGGGGATTTTTGTGGCCACCGAACGTTGTGGCAGGATGTTGGCCTCTCGGTGACAGTAACCAGAAAATAGGAAGGGGAGTGACAGGTGAGGCCCTCTCTATGATACAATGCGAGGCGGCTAGCTCACGAGTGGCCCGAGGGGTGTATGCCTCCGAGTGTGAGGCGGGGTGTTGGCCTCGCGGGACCACTAACCAAAGCGTAAAGCAGAGAAAACAGGAGGTAATACCTATTGGGCCATAGAACCCTAATTGCCAGTACATTACTACTATTCCAGGGAAGGTAAGAGATGAAGGTGTATCACTTCTAGCCGTGGTGCTAGGAAGAGGTGATTCTTTACCATCTTTTTGAGAAATACTTAAATAACAATAAAGATTGCAATTATATATTTGTACCCAGGGGTCTTGTACCGGCTGCTAGCTAAGCCGTAAGGCGAAACGATTAGGCTTGGTGTTTTTTGGTGACTGGTGAGGCCCTGCTAGTTGCCAAGTGGCTTGAGAGGCTCTATCTATGCTTGGCGCGAGGGGATTTTGTGTGGCCACCGAACGTTGTGGCAGGATGTTGGCCTCTCGGTGACAGTAACCAGAAAAATAGGAAGGGGAGTGACAGGTGAGGCCCTCTCTATGATACAATGCGAGGCAGCTAGCTCACGACTGGCCCGAGGGGTGTATGCCTCCTAGTGTGAGGCGGGGTGTTGGCCTCGCAGGACCACTAACCGAAGCATAATGCAGAGAAAAAAAAAGGGGGTAATACCTATTGGGCCCTAGAACCCTAATTGCCGGTACACTATTACTATTCCAGGGAAGGTAAGAGATGGATAACTACATGAGCAGGTGTACGTACCTGGTAGTTGGTATTGAACCTGACAATCCGTATAGGTTTTTTAGTAGTAACTGTAACTTGAATGGATAAAATCGTATGGCATAAGGAAATATGGCATAGACCAAGCTTATCTTACAACATACAGTATATGTTAAAGTAAAGTGCCGTGATATGTAAATATTAAACATCATATCCATACTGGTTAAATATGTAACAATCTTAACCCATTAAGTGCCATATGTAAGTGAACCATATTACCAGTTACGTTTATACAGATGCGTGTGCTACTGTGTAATAATATGTGTATTTATAACAGATATTGATATACTGCTTGCTATGTGAATTGTTGTATGCCTTATTGAATGGCAAGTGAACATGGAGTTGCAAAATGCAAGTGCACTGGAGATCTGCCGAGTGCCCTATAGGTGGCAGTGTAGTTGATACTGATTGGTATGTGAAATGTTGTTTGTCTGTTGACCTATAGGGGTCAGTGTTTTGGTGTTTGTAAAACCCCATGAAAAACCCCATGAAAATTGTCAATGTACTTTACAGACCTGTAGGTGGCAGTGTTGACAGAACCACTGTTAGTCTTAATGTGAAATGTAAACTATTGTGAATTAAACCTGAAGTTGAGCCTGTGTTGGAGTTTAATTCATGGTTTATGGTTATGTTTAAAACAATCTTATGTGTAATTTATATTGGCTGGTAATTGTATATGACATGTGAAGACAGTTTTGCTGTTGACCAGTAGGGGTCAGAAATGCTGATTGTATGGTAAAATACCCTTTAACCCCTGAAGGATACATGACATGTGTGACATATCATGATTCCCTTTATTCCAGAGTTTGGTCCTTAAGGGGTTAATCCAAATGCAAGGTTAACGTGAGATTTTGAGAGTGACCTGTAGGGGTCAGTGTGGTTTATGTGAAACATTGTTTGTGAGCTATGCCCCAGCATTATAGTTGTATGACAGGGAAACAAAGTGCCCGTTTGACAATATACAATAAGTGAACATAATAGCTTAATAACAGTCTTTGTAACAAACCAAAGTTCTGTTCGAGGATTGTAAATGCACAAAGCGTGTGTGTAGTACAATAGTAAATGCATGAACTAGTACCCGTTTGGTAGAAAATTGCACGAACCGTGAGCCTGGTATGTCAGGGAAACAAAACGAGCAGTGATATTCGAAATGCACGCACAGAATTGCCTAGTATGTTTAGGCAATTGAAACAGAATGTGTTCCCATTTGGGAGTATGCTAATGCTCGAAATGAGCCAGTGACAGATCTAAACAAGTGAATTTAAACGAATGATATGCATGAACATCCAATGGTTTTAGGACAGATTTAGACAAAATGCAGCCGTAAAGTGAGGACCTGACCCGTGCATGGTGCCGTGGGACTGATGCCTGGCGTAACGGGTAGGTCGACTTACGGTTTGTGAGTCACTTGGACACCATCCACAGCGATAGATTGAAGAAAGAAGGTGGTAGGCCGGAAAAGCCTGTGGCAGGGTAGGGG